TATAAGAAACCTGCACGAATTAAAGCACAAATAATAAAAATCAGTGTATAAGTGATTTTTGAAATATAAGGTTACATAAACTGTAGCTGTTAATGACACATGGAACACATTTCTAAATGAGATTTTGCTGCTTGTGAAGGAAGATAATCACTGATGCAGCTTAAAGGGAAGCCATGCATGAATGGATGGAATTGAAGTTGAGTCCATAATACGGATGCAGGATATATTGATGTTGGCATCAGTATCGGCTGTTAAACCTCATTTTTTATACATTCATGTTTTAGAGCCCTTCATAAATAAAGCACTAAAGGAATAAATATCAGTGTATTGTGGTTATCTTGTGTTTTCAACAATAGGAAAGCATTTAATGAATATGTTTGAGCTCAGTTTTGGGTTGAGTAGCTGTAGGTCCATCAGGCTCCATCCTTAGAGCATCCCCATCAACTTTTATCACAAAGTTACACCTTTGATCTATGGATTACTGCTCTCTTACATTTATACCTCACTTACACAGAAAGGCATGGCTTCTTTTGCCCTGAGATCCGATGAATCAGCTGTTGCTCAGTGTTGCTTTTACCCTCACAGAACTAGGAAAGAAAGCCTTTAGCTACGCAGCTCCTAGTGTTTTGAATTTTTTACAAAATCCTTAAATGCTTTTAATTTGAATGTGAAAGAATTTGAAGCAGCCTCGATTATCTGTAATTGTTTTACTTGATATGTTTTCTATGTACCTGTTATTTAATTTAATGTATCTCTGTTTATTATGTAACTTTGCTGCCCCTTGGTCAGGACTCCCGAAAAAGAGGTTTTTAAAGGTGTCATAAAATGATTCTATAGGGTATTTGGTCCTTAAGGCCTCTGAATAGGGTGTGTAACATTGGTTGGGTTGAAAATGGCATATTTGCTGTTCTATGAGCCCTAATGCAAGCCTGGGTAAAAGCCCTAAAATGAAACGACAGGTTTTCTTCCTTTTATGGTATGATCATGAATATTTAGATGAGCTGTGCGCTGATTTACAGCGAGCAAAGCTGCTGAGCAAAGACGCATCATAGCAACAAGCACTCACTCACTAAAAGCATCAAATTGTTGATATGATAGGGTGACCAGACGTCCTCTTTTTCCCGGACATGTCCTACTTTTCATACCTAAAAGAATGTCCGGGTGGGGAATTTCAAAATCTTCCGGGATTTTGGTCGACTACAGTGCATTTCTAATTTTTTAAGTTGCATTTCATTAAGATGTTTTTACTGATTTTTTTTCATATTTCATTAAAAGGTTAAATCTAGACGTGTGAATTTATCTTAATAAGGAACTTGACAACTTTTCTGCTCCAAAGAGATCTGCTTGCAGATTCCAAAACACCAAAGGCGGCGGCTTCATTAGCGACAGCAGCGGCCTAAATCTTACAAGTCTAGCGCCCCTAGTGGCTAAAAGTAACAGGGTGGCAGAAGACAATAAGAGCAGAATCTTTCATGCACTGCTACAGCTTTGCACTCCTTCTTTTTAGTCCAGATTATTTATGGAGTCAAAACCTTCCCCACTGGGTAGTATCCTCAAAGGTTCCTTAACCTCTGCTCTGTTTGCTCCCACAGATTTCTCACATCATTCGGGAAATTCGTCAGTTCCAACAAGCTCCTTACAGAATAGAGCATCAACCCAAGGTTTGCCTGTTAGCCGGCCTGTTTTCACCATCAGCTCATTTTTAAAAAATAGGGCACAAAGAAATGACTTTAACAAACATTTTCTCTTCGTTTCAGGTAACTCAGTTCCTGCTGGATAAGACCTTAGTGATGGATGAAGACACCCTGTATGAGCTCTCACTGAAGATCGAACCTCGAGTCCCGCCAGGCTGATTTCCCACAGCAAGCCCTCGTGTTTACATGTCTTTTGTTTTTATGTTGTACAGGGGTGTAAAAAAGGGTAGAAGGGGAAACTCAGGAGAAAATGTGCCTTATTTTATGAATTATATGAGGTATTTATTTAGTAATTATTGGGTATCACAGAAACACCTCCATGTCATAGTGTAGAAACCCCACTGGCCATAGTACTGGAATATTGCTGCTATCACTCAATGAGGTCATTTATTCTTTTTTTATCTTCCACACAAATGTCTTCAGATATTTTACATCATTTGGATTCCTGCTAATTATATCAAATAATCAGGTTTACCTTAATGAGCACACTAGTGTTATTGTTTTGTATTTGTGATTGTAATGATCTAGAGCTGAGGTCTTCAACAGGGGTCTGCGACCCCTAGGTCGCGAAAGTTATGGTCGATTCGATTTTTTTTTTATATTCCCTCCTGCAATTTTTTCCTCTAATTGAAATGTCTTTAAATCCACATTAACATGAATTCAACTCACTGTAGTAAACAGATAAATGGAGGCAGATGTCTTTCAGTCATCAATGCTCACATTCAGCGACACACAGGAGCTCTTTCAAGCTGGGCACCGTTTCATTCACAACACCTGTCCCATCAACCAAGAATCAGAATTACTTTAGTTACATTAAGCCATCTGCAATAGAGTGACTGTAGGACCAGTTTGATGTGACTGTCAGGGTTTGGTTGTGTTTTGAGGACCCAGATGTAGAGGCAGGGAGGCGGAGGGGATTTTCTTGAAGATTGATTTGAAAAATCACAAACAACTGAGGCAGAAATCCAAAAATCAAACTTAAAATGTAACCAGAACCATGGAGACATCAGCGGAAAAGAGCACGTGGAGTTAGGGAAAGGCGAGGAGAGACGAGGAACCAGCACTGAGAAACTACACAAGGAGAGTATATATGGGAGACTGAACAAAGAGAGGATTAACGAGCTGATTGGGAGCAGGTGTGAAGAGAGGAGTCTAGAAAGGAACTAGGGAAAAGGAGACCGACACAAGGGGGCAACAAATAAAAACCTAAGAACTCAAATATATTCAGAAAACACAACAAAATAGAAATTAAACCAATAAAACTAGAAAACACGGAGCAAAGTAAAACAGAATACTCAAAAGAAAACAAAACAGAACCAAGACCGTGACAATAACACAATTTCATACAATATATATAATTAGGGAGTCCCCATCAGTTTGGGAGTCCTTAACCTGGAAAACGGTGAAGCCCCCTGATCTAAAGGAAATCTGAGAAACATTGCTTTCTAAATGCAAAATGACTAAGCAATCTGGGGCGTACAATTCACCCCTTTGAAATTGACGTAACTAAAAGCTCTTAAATCAGCAACTAATGAAAAAAACAGAGACAGACAAACTGTGCAGAGAAAAATTCAGTTTTTTTTTTATGTGGCTCCTTTTTTTTATCTTCAAACCCTTGTTTCCCCTCACCTCCATGCAAACTGCCGTTGCACAATCTTCCAATGATGTCACTGTTACCACAGTAACCTTTTTCACGCTCCCCCTACCTCCCTTTCTGCTTTCTCCCTTCATAGGCCTAAAACGTTTTCCCTTAAAGATTGCTAATACATAGTTTATAGATATATGTTATTTTTTTAATGTGTAAACACTCATGCATAATGGTTTATTAGGCATGCCAAAAATAAGTTTGAAAGTTATTATTTTGCTTATAAGGCAGTAAATTAGTCGGAAATGTTGAAAATAAGAAGTGCTAGAAGAAATCTATATTTGAACAGCTTAGGCTGACTATTTGTATGTTTTCTGGTCAGTAACTGAAATGATCTTGGCTCATTAAGAATAAAAGTGTTTACAGATCTATTAACATATCTATAATCAATTTAATAGCTATCTATAAGGGGAGATTAGTTTCCTTAAGGAATGTTTGTAAAAGCTTTTAATAAGCAGTATGATGCTTTTAATGAGCCGTCTGATTTCTGGCTGCTGGGCCAGATTTGTTTTAACACTGTTTATAATCACCTGATGCATCAGTTGGAATTTCATTTTTAATCTTGAACATCTGATAAATAGTTGTTTGTTTCTCTTTTTTTGCTTTTTTTGAGAAAAAAATTGCATGTTTTCCTTTTGAAAAAAAAAACACTTCTTAGTAGATAAAAAGTTTTTATCTTTTTTCCAACTTCACAATCACTGCATCCCCTTTTAGTGAGCAAAGAATTTTGTACATATTTTTCTGATCAACATTTTTTTATGATTCTTGTCCTGAGCGGCACCTGGAGGAAAATATTGTTGTTTGATAACATTTTCTGACAGTAATGACAGTATGTAGTATATTTGATAGTATATTTAACTAATATGTAAGTTTATCACTGTACTGACATGTTTGCGCCATTTGATTGTTGCAAGACTACGGTTATTTATAACATAAACATAAAGTATATTATGAGTTTATCTCTGTAGATGCAATTGTATTTTCTTTTAGTAGATTTATTTTTGCATGAAATATTCTGTAACTTGTTTGTATTAGTGTTCAATGCTTGTTTGATTTTACTGTTAAATACTTTTAATTGCTTTTTTTCTATAATGTGTATAATATATGTACACTCTCTTGTAAATAAAACTTAGAGTGACAAAGAATGTCGCTGCTTTTAAATAATGAAAGAAAATGTACAGAAGACATGTACTGTAAAGATGCAAAGCTGGCCATAGCCTCTAAAACTGCATTTGGTCGCCATACAGCGGTTATGCTTCACCCAGTTATAAATACAACACTTCTCATTATTGTTTTACCAAAATTCAAACTATATCTTTACACCAATGCAATTGTTTCAGTATAGAAACCAAATGGTGATGAAAATTTATTAATAATGATTTAGGGAATAAAATCTGATGCAACGTTCAGAGAGACACGGGGGGATTTACCAAAAGGCAATACTAGGCAGTTGCCCCAAGTTCCTGGGGGCCCCAAAGAACTCTGTTTACATGTGTAGTTAATAGAACTATTCCTTATTAGTGCACATTAATTATGTTTTTAATAAAATCCTTTCAGTAAAATGCCATCAGAACACTTTCACTATTAAGTGTGTCTCAGCCCCCCCTCCGCCTTCAGTGTCCACCATATTGGATCAGTCCATTTGCTGCACATGTTCAGAAAGATCAAACAGACAGCAGCAAACTATTTAAAAACAATCAATGCAGAGAGTGGTGTTGCCAATTTAGCGTTTTGTTGCTATATTTAGCGACTTTTCAGACGCTTTTATTTCAAAACGCCCCTAGTGCCAAATCTAGTGACTTTTTTCTGCTACAGGAGACTTTGGCGATAACATCTAAAAGCAGCAAACTCTGCTCTCCAGAGCAAGTAGATTGGTAACCCCGCCTCCTGCTCTCCTCTATCTTGTCTGCTGTCATGAATCATGCAGTTTTATTTTATCCAAATGATAAATGGAGAACAGATAAGCAGATCATGGCTTGTCTACAGTGAAAAGAAGGACTGGGTTATTTACTTTTACCGTTGCTTTTTGGAAACAGGAGGGAGCAATCGGCTAAGTGAGCTTAATGCTTAGAAAAAATCAAATAATGTACATCTATTCTATTAAAATTTCTGTATCTGTATGATGGGTCTGTTTTATGTGTTCAGACAATTTACACTTAAAATAAGAAAACACAATTGCGTTTTCTTAGTTTAAGAGCATATTATCTAATTATCTTATTTTAAGAGCAAAAATACTCATTCCATTGGCAAACTATCTCATTTACCTGCTCAAATTAAAGGTAAATATGCTCAATTTAAGAAATTTTTAATAATTTCTTGATCGTTTTTTTCAGTGTGGCAGAACCGGGCTCAGCGTTAGCGGCCATCTGCCGATGCAGACTGGGGTTCAAGGAGACTGGCTCCAAGCCAGCTCCCATGTCAGAGGATGAAGAGAGCACATCCAGCCAGTCACAGTCAGGGAAACAGGACTACAGTGAAAAACAGGCCGATCTCCAGCATCTATAAACAAAGGTGTTGATTTCTCTCCAGGATGGAGTCAAAGCCAAACAGGAACAGATGAGGTGAAGCTAATATGAAAAGTAGAGAGAGCAGAACAGTAGAGATTGAACTAACAGATTCTGCACAGTGGGAGAATAGAGATAAAATGAAGCAGAATGATGAAATGGGGGTCCCTATGTCCTCCAGCAGTCTAAGCCTATAGCAGCATAACTATAGAGTTAGCTCAGGATAACCTGAGCCACTCTAACTATAAGCTTTATCAAAAAGGAAAGTTTTAAGCCTAGCCTTAAAAGTAGACAGGGTGTCTGCCTCACGGACTAAAACTGGTAGTTGGTTCCACAGGAGAGGAGCCTGATAACTAAAAGATCTGCCTCCCATTCTACTTTCAGAACTTTTAGGAACCACTAGTAAACCTGCAGATTGAGAGCGAAGTGCTCTGTTAGGAACATAAGGAACAATCAGATCTCTGATATCAGATGGAGCTTGGCCATTTAAGGCTTTATATGTGAGAAGGAGGATTTTAAATTCTATTCTTGATTTAACAGGAAGCCAATGAAGAGAAGCCAGAATAGGAGAGATATGATCTCTCTTTTTCATTTTCATCAGAACTCTGGCTGCAGCATTTTGGATCAGCTGAAGGCTTTTAACTACAGTTTGTGGACTTCCTGATAGTAAAGAATTACAATAGTCCGGCCTTGAAGTAACAAATGCATGGACTAGTTTCTCAGCATCACCCCTGGACAGGAGATTTCTAATTTTTGCAATATTCCTCAGATGAAAGAAGGAAATTCTAGAAACCTCTTTGATATGGGATTTAAATGACAGGTCCTGATCAAAAATAACACCAAGATTTTTTACTTTATTATCTGAAATCAGTTTAATCCCATCCAAATGAAGTGACTGACTAATCAGCTTATTTTTCAGAGACTCTGGTCCAAAGACTATAACTTCTGTTTTGTCTGCATTCAGAAGCAGAAAGTTAAGAGTCATCCAGGTTTTTATGTCTTCAAGACATGCCTGTAATCTATGTAATGGGTTAGCTTCATCTGGATTTATAGACAGATATAGCTGGGTATCATCAGCATAACAGTGAAAATTAATCCCATGCTGTCTAATAATTCTACAGATTGGGAGCATGTATAAAGTAAAGAGAATTGGTCCCTGCAAGGTCATTGAGAATTCTTGTTAAAAAAACAAGTGCAAGTGAGATGTATTGTAACGCACAAGTCAGAACATACCAGGCACTTGTGAGAAATGTGATATACAAGTTTATTCCAAAAAAAAATAAAAATAAATAAA